TGTACAGCTCATTGTATATTTAGCTCAGCTCTACCGGGACTGACCTTTAGCTCTGCCATCGATCTGCTAGTGTAACCCTAGATAGGCACCCGGAAGATCGATATGGCTATCAATAGAATCCGCGCGCGAGCGGCATGCCTCCCGCAGCAGGCGTGAAATTCAGTCATCCGACTGACCCAGTATTCTCATGCGTTCGGAGTCGAAGCTGTACCCTGGCTCGGATGCCTGATCAGCTCTCAAGGAAAGCTTGTCTTTCCGTCGCACGGTGAGTTCGTGCTCGTGCATTCGCGTGGGAATCCGTTTGCTGGTTTCACCGACATAACTGGCTGTACCACAAAGACAGTCGATGTGGTAAATGCCACCGGATTTTTGTTTAACGGGTATTGGGGTTATCAACTGACGGGATTTCATACCTACGCGGCGCGTGGCGTGATGGGCAGAATGTTCCTTGCTTCTCCAAGCACAGGACACCAAGTTTCCACTGTGATTCTTTCCTTGCCGATAGCCATGGACCAGTATTATCATAAAAAATAATATGACTAAATTGCTAGTCGAGGGTCAACGTCTTGACCACTAACAATAATCTTTTTAAAGAGGGTTGTACTACAGCACCACTCCAAACGATCTGATCCACAGAGCCTATCTTATGTGCGAAGCGGATATTGCGATTCAAAGTCACGCCTCGATTAGTTGATCCCAGGTCAGCAGCAGCATAGCAGAGAACGCGCCGAACGTTACCCGTATTTGGAGTGCTGCCACGAACTGACCAATTGCAGCGACATGTCCTCTGGCCAATCAGAGCTTCCCTACACGAGTCGGCTGGGATTGGCGGTCGTTTCAGCGGCTACGGCCGCTGTCGGTTTGAGGTCCTTGCGTCACAATTCCCATCAGCGGCGTGAAAATGGAAGATTTCGGAAAAACGGCGAAGGGCAGTCCCGTGAAAAAGATCACCATTCGGCCGAAACTCCCAGAAAACTTGGCTTCGGGTAGCGACAGCGAGGTGTGGAACGGAGTGAGGGCAATTGTCATCAACTACGGTGCAGTCCTCCAGCAGCTTTGGATTCCTGGTCATACGGACACCGGCGGAAAGAAGAAGACACCCCTCACCCTGGCCGACGTCGTCCTCGGTTTTCCGGACATAAGTAGTTATGAGAAAAACGTACCTTATCATGGGGCCATTGTGGGGCGTGTTGCTGGTCGCATCAGCAATGCTCGGTTTGCCATCCCCTACGAGCTGGATCCCACAATGGCCGGCGTCTATAGACTGCCGAAGAATCTGAAGAAGCAACACTGTCTACATGGCGGAACGTGAGTTTCCACTTCTTGCCTCATTGTTGTTTATTTTTGCTGTTGATGGGAAAACCTTTCAGCGAATTATATCCATCCTTTAGGAATAAGCAAGCAACGGCGGCATTTATGGTCGCAGTCTTTGTTGCAAGTTATATACAACCAACTGCATATTTATCTTTTCCGTTAAAGTTTGGATAGTAGACTTTAATTCAGAATGCAAGCAAGCTTATTTTTTTAAAAGCAAGTATCTAATGCTTATAGTTTAGTATATTTAGGGTAGTAGGCAATGCCTTTGAAGACCCTATGTTTTGAGTAGGAATATACTTCACTGGTTTTATCACTTAATGTGATTACCATATATCGAAACGACACGGATAAGTAATAATCGAATTTATAGCTCCCGCTGAAGCGGATTTATAGATTAATTTTCAAATTTTGCAAATAAACTACAGAGCAGCTAAACAATCACGGTTTGAAGGGATTGGGTTGCTCCGACCATTTGTATTGTACGACACTTTCCCTTTCTGGATGAGAAATGTTATATATTCCTCTAGACTATTAGCGGTAGAACCTATATGGATCTCGTAAAATTTTGCAAGAACACATTGTATACGAAACAGGGAGTATCAATTAATGAACAGGTAAAATGTTATTTGAATGGGCATTTAATCGGCTCAAAATTGTGCCAATTAAAACCCTTTTAGGACTAAAGGGTATATGTTTTGCTTAAGTATAAAAGTTGACGAAGACATGGCTCACCACAAAATGAATTTGAAATCCATGGAAACTTAAATTATACTTAAGTTGGCATTTTCACTCACTGGGGTTTTTTAAGCGGCCTGATAGAAGCGCACTTCAAATGCGGCGTACTAGCATGATCGGATTACTTTGCGATCATGTTGCATGATAATTAATATTAAAATCCAAGCTAAGAATTCTAACTCATCGGAAATACGTTTCAGAATTTCCATTGACATTTTCTGAGGCGGACCTATTAGCGTGATTACTTCTGTTATAGAGTCTTCCCCAAATAGAAGGTTCCACTCTCGCAAACCGATTTCTGCTTTGCCTATCAAGTGATATAATCCAAGCCTTTTGCTTTCGATCATGTTATATCATTGAAAGTCGCGGAATTCTTTCGTACGGAATTTCGCATTAGCACAGTTCACCATATTTTGTGGTTGTAGCTTTGCTCGTGAAACGCCATCCGAAATTCTGGAACTTGTTTTCGAACTGAAAAGCGTAATTAAGTGAATTTCCTAAAGTCAGTTGTCATGCAGAACAATCGCAAGGCATGTCAACCACCTCAAGATGCCAACGTTCGAACGAGTTTTTATTCCGGCCGTCTACAAAAATCATACTCTCTGTAAAATGACCACTCATGTGTGTGAAGATTCGAGGTCCAGATATCATATCGTTTTCGCCATCCCCCAAAAAAGAGGAAGAAGACGGTACGAGGACATGGACCGTTTTATTTTGAAACTGACGTTTTGGACACTCTCGGTTCTATCGTCAGACTAACTGGGTGGTTGTTCCTGTTGGCCGGGACTGTTGCAGCCTTGCCGCGCGCCTGTTATTATATCTGCGCTCGACGCACGACCTTTGACCTGCCTGTTCGCTGTTGACTGACCGTGAGTTTTGTTCGCTATTGAGCTCTTGTGACCTCTGCTCACTTTTCGGCTGTCGCAAGTCAGCGTACTGGCTGACGT